ATTCTTAATCACCTACCTCCCTCTTTTTATAGCAAACTTCCTGGCCCAAGGGCAAAGCTGCAAGCATCTCAAACTTTGTTGCATTTAAGAACTGCATCTGGAGCTACGGCATGTAGATTTAAGCAGCCCTCAAGTATGAAATATAGAGGTGCAAACTTCGGCGGGGAGGGACTACTATGTCCCCCCTATGGCCCCATAAGTGGCACCTTTGCTGCCAGGGTCTGTACTACAAGTGTTCCTGAATTAGGAAACCTGGAGTACTGAGTGTGACAGGGCGCTCCCGCCCTGCACTCGGGGGTGCCGGAGCGAGGACCGGAGGACTCCCTGGGGGGTGAATAGGAGGCCCACCACAAGGACCCTAGGGCGGAGCACGGGCCTAGGGTCCGGCATCACGGGACGTGGGGAGAAAGGGGCGCCGCCGGAGAATGCCCCGGGGGGAGGGGCTAGTGCGGTGCGGAGGGGTGACGTCACAGGGGGAGGAGGGCTGCCGGGCGTCGCAGGCGTGATGGCGCCAGAGAGCCAGGCCGGCGCGGGGTTTAAAACCACGTCCGGCACAGGGTTTGAGGGGAGAGGAGCGGAGGACTGGGGGATGTGGACCCGAGGGAGCGAGGGTGAGGCAAAGACCCTTGGAGGGGACTGGTCCCTGGGAGGGACCGAGTAGGAAGTGGCCCAGGGCAGGGTTGTGGAGCCCGTGAACGGGTGTGTTTAGGGGCACTACCCCCATCCGCTAGGCAGGGACACGTAGTCCCTGTCTTAAGGGCCCTGGGCCGGAGTTCAGAGGGAGCGCGGGCCCGAACTCCCCTACTCTGCCCAGTGGGGCAAGGCGCTTCGTTGGGGCCGTGCTGTTTGGTGCCAAGCCTGGGACTAGAGAGGCTCTGGGACTGAAGGGCTGGGGGCCGGGACTATGTTAAGGGGTGCCGGGCTATCTGAGGGGTGCAATAAAATGGGTGACAGGCGCCCACTAAAAGCACAGATAGCGTGACTTCTTTACACTGAGGTTGCAGTGTGCTAATGTAGATATAAACAGTGTAGGCATGGTAGTACAGAGAGTGGCAAGTGTGGCCTGGTTTAGCCTTGCCAAGTACAAATCCTTCTGAAATTAAGTCATGCTGCTCCTGGTACTGCCAATGCCTGTGCTGTCATGGCTGTGCTACTATTTGTACACATGTTAGCATAATCCACACACTTACTGTGTGTGGTATACTGTCCCATCTAGTGAAACTGAGACCACTTACATAGAGAAGAATGAGTCTGGTTTACAGCCTCACCTAATAGCTCACCAGTTGGCTTTTAGCTCATGTGGTAGAGGCTCATGTTCTAAGATTCAGAATTACACTAGCTCTCATTAAGCTACTGCTCATACATGTATGCGAGTTAGGGAATAATACCTGTAGCTTGTAAAGTAGAAGCAGCCTTATAAATTACTGGGGTTTGAAGTTTGTACTATATCTCTTTAGAAAGTTAATTTATCTTAGACTTGCATTGAAGCTTCAGGTATTGGGTATGATTCATATGTGAGATTATTAGTCTATATACATATAGTATTTGTAGAGTTAAATGAGTTTAGTCTTCTAAATCAATACAATTCTATTAGAAGAAGTCAGGCATTTCTATAATTTTAAGTTGTACACCCATTCTGAGGATGAATATCCTTATTAATTGCTGTATGTTACATTTTCAGTGTTCTTTTCAGGGCAGATGTGCCACTATCATTTACTTTTAATGGAAATAATGGAGCTACACTAGACACAAAACAATGCTCCACTCTGCGACTACATCTTCACTGCGAGTTCTTCCAGCAGAAAATATGCTAATGAGGGACTCATTAGCATACGTTGCAATCTCATTAGCATGTTTTCTGCCGTTTCTTTTTGCGCAAGGGGTTTCTTGCGCAAAAAGAAGCAGTGTGAACAGGGTTGGGTTTTTTGTGTGCAAAAACCCTGTTTTGTGCAAGATCCTTATGCCTGTCCCAGAGAGGCATAAGGATCTTGTGCAAAATGTTTTTTTTTGCGCAAAAAAACCCCTATCCACACTATTTCTTTTTGTGCAAAAAACCCTTATACAAAAAGAAATGGCAGAAAATATGTTAATGAGATTGCAGCTTATGCTAATGAGTCCATCATTAGCGTATTTTCTGCCAGAAGAACTCGCAGTAAAGACGTAGCCTGTTACTTTTATTCTGGTGTCATGTAAGTAAGAGTGAATCAGGACATCGTTTTTATACCCTTGATGAATGTTAAGAACTCTCTTATTTTTCTGATCATTCTCTTTATGTAGTCCCCTTGTCTAATGTCGCTTTCTAAACTGTTTAGTTTGAGTGGAGTATATAGGAGCTGGGTTGTCAGCAATAGTTAAAAATCATGCTGGGCCTTTCTTCCTCACTATAAAACATAGCTGTGAAACAGACATTGTATCAGTCTATAAAACTCAGGGAAGTCAACTCCTTGTATGAAAAATAATATGTATGGAAAGCTGTTGGTCTTAACATGCTAATTTCTTGGTTCAGCTCTCTAGAAAAATGTACTGTTGAGGTGATGGGGTCATTTTTAGCACAAGTTAAAAGAGTTGCTCTACTTCTTTCAGTTTTTGTGGGTTTACAGAATACAGCCAGCAAAGGAGCATTTATGTGGTCTTAGTATACTGTGTGTCCTGCCATGTCTGTTGTGCCATTGACAAAAATACACTCACAGTGCATGACATGGTCTTAGGCATCTCAGGAACAGCTTCAGTCAGCAAATAGAAGAGAAATTAGGGCTTGATTCTTCACTTGGACTTAGTGGAGAGGGGCCAGAGAGAGCCAGGTGCAACTCCCTGATCCTCTGTCAAGTAGCCCTAATGTGAGTTTAAGATGATGGACTGGAATTATGTTGGTGTCAATTCAGGGTAACTCCATTCACTGTCACAGTTGTTATAGATGTATATTTGTATAAATGAGAGCAGAATCTGACCTGCACATTATCTGACTGTCAGGGGCAAAAATTATCTAATGTGAACATGCCTCTGCGCTCTAGAGTGTATATTTCCACAAGAGCATTGGAAATACAATAAGTGCATGATAACAGAGAACTCGCTATACAATAAATAAAACTGAGAATGGGGTTGTATTGTCAGCTAGGAGTCTGATGAAAGATTACATATAAGCTACAGAGATGGCATTGGCAACACAAAGACTCTTATAGTTCTGCAGTCTCCTTGGAAAAAATGCCTCTAATGTGAACTATTATTCTTGTTCTTTTGTAAGAACATTTAGAAGAACATTTATTATCTATGACTCCTTACATGTCTAATAGTTGGTATTTTTGAAACAGATCTGCCCATAAATTACCTTGCTTTTTAATTGTGGGCTACATTGTAGATAAATTACCTTAATGTTTGACATAATCTGATGGTTCTTGCATATTACTGCTTTTATACATTCTGTGTTTAAAGATTTCTGAAATAAAGATGACATTGGTTTCATTAATCATTTCATGAGGTAGTAATTTTTTAATCTAAATTATATTTCCATCTATAAATTTATTGGCTACTTCAAATAATAATGCTAATTATAAAGATGTAATACTGTTATTGAATGGAATTTAAGATTTTTGTAGAAGAATGAATTTTCTGTATTTAATACAAAGTCAGTGTTATATTGCAAGCATTTTACAAGTGTTGCCATTTTCTGAGGCAATTTTCAATCTCTAACATATTTGGACATCCTTTAAATATATATATATATAGTTTTAGTTTAGTGCTAGTTCATTCTTTGTATCATTTAACTGAACATACACACTGGAAAGTCCCTTGTCCTCTATTGCTGAAACTTCAGAAGTACTTTGGCAGTCTTTTCTGGGTACTTCAACTCACAACAGTATTGTATGCCTACAGAGTATCTGAATCAAATCCTGCTTCCTTTGCCTCTAGTAGTCTCAATAGGCTTTAGAGGGACTATTTTAATGAGTTTAGTAAAAAAGATATAGCCCTGTTTTAACATGCACAAAATTGATCTTAGTCTTTATCCTCTTCATGAAAAGGTGTGTGTATCTTTTCTGAAGAAGCTACTGCAACATGATGAAATGTTGGGTTAAGTTTAATTGATTTTAAGGTTTTGGAAATATAGGAGTCCATATATATAGATCCTCATACTTTAAAGCTAATAATAAAGGCCAGTTACTTTAAACTTAGCTTTTAATATACCTCACATTGATAAACTAATTTATCCTATTTTTATTATTGTCTCAGCTGTTAAATATAACCAGTCTGCTAGATTTAGCCTCTGCATGTGTACCATATTACAGATATTAGAATACTGTGCTTGTTTACTGGAAACATATTAATTCATAGATAAAACAATTTATAATGTAGAGCTGCTTAATTTGTAACAATCTTTTAAAGAGAAAAGCAATGAGATCTTCATTGTTTATATAATGTGACAATATCCTTGTTAATCCATATTTTGAAATAGTTATTTTTACATTGCAGGTAACATTTAACTATTTCTAGGCTAATCCATCATATGTGTATAACTTTTATTTTTGTATTTTCATTACTCTGCTGTAATTTCCCCCCAAAAAATTTACAGTACACATAATCTCTCCTGACAAGCATACTATAGCATGTTTTATAGTATTCTAGATTGGGAATAAAAGTTGTAAGAATTTAATATTATTTCCCATAGTGCTTGAATATTTAATATGTGCTTGCTTTAATCACAAATAATTTAATTAAAACATGATTACATCTTATCTGTTTATAATTATAATATTAGGGGATACTTTGAACACTAAAATGCAATTACAGATGTTTTTAATATGGTAGTTTGGTTTATTTCATAATCCTAAATGTAAAGAAACAAGAAGGAATATTACTAGTAATTTAATTACTTTGAAAATTGAACTCTGTTCATGTTGCTTTACAGTTCTGTGATCACTTCCATGATAATAAATAGCTTTATGTCTAATTTATTTTTTTTATTTGCTAATGTTTGATGGGAACTGTTATACCGTATTCTTTTGTAGTTGCAGTGTGCCCTATAATGAGATCAGATGAACATCATCTTCGACAAATCTACAAAAATAATCTTGATGTTTCAGGTAAGTCATTTCTTCAACACAGAAGGTAGAGTATCTAAAATTTAAAACCCTTGTGTGAAATCCTGGACCCACTGAAGCTGGCTTTAACTGTATAAGATCATTTTAGAAAATATATTTGTATTAAAATAATAATACATTACTTCTATAATTTTGTGGTTTAAATTATATACACAAGATTTTTTTTTCATGCTTGTTAAAATCTGGATTTGACATTTACTTCTCAGACTTACTGTAGATCTGTAGCATAGTTATTCTCATTAGTTCAGATGGTAAAAGAAAACAGCCAATGCATTCCTTAGAGGTTGAAAAGTCAAGTGTTCAGGGAATTTCATACTCGTATCCCCTCCTATGAGAAAATGCAAACTGGAAGTTTCTGTGACCTAAAGCACTTGGATTTGAAATAGCCTGTTAGTCTAGAGACTAGAAAAGCACCAAGCATGCTAAAAATCAATACTTCCCCCAGGTTTTAAAATCACTTTAAACAAAGAATAGACTAAATAAGTGTGTCACATTTCACAGGTTTTGATCTAGCAGACAGTTTTTCTCTGAGACGGGCATCTTGTGGAGATGAGAAAACTTGTTTTAAACTGGGAAGCACACCTCTTATAAGAAACACTCGGTAAGTAAAACAGTACTTTATCCCTAAATATCTTTAACAGGATCCAAGTTCAATATGTTAGTCCTTAAGTGTTTTCAGTTGTAAAAGTCTTTCCATACAAAACCATAATTATTATAGCTTTTCCTTATCTGGAGTGCAGAGATACATGAAAATGTAATTGAATGTATGCTAGTCCTTAGCATGCCATAGTGCTGGTATTGACATTATTTCTCTTTGGGCTTGTCTATACTACGGAGAAGATCGATGCTGCCACAGTCGATCTTCTGGGTTTCGAATTAGTGGGTCTAGTGAAGACTCAATAATTTGAACTAAGAGAGCTCCCCTGTCAGGACCAATAGTCCTGCTCCTCATATGGAGTAAGGGAAGATGACTGGAGCATGTGCTCCCATCGATCTCCCACTGTGCGGATAGTACAAACATGTGATTTTAGATACTTCAACTCCAGCCTTGTAATTAATGTGGCTGGAGCTGCATATCTTAAGTTGACTTTTCCCTTTATTGTAGATCAGGACTTTGTGTATAAAAAGAAGTTTTATCATTCTTAATTAATAGCAGGGTTTTTTCCCCTTTGGCTTCAGTGGATCTGGCACTGTATGGATTAAAATTAAGCGAAGTTGGAAATAAAATACTGATCCCTCAATACTTCCTCAGACAAAATACCCCTTGAACTCATACATGTTTCTCTCCTCATCTTTCTCAGAGTTTATCTTTTCTTCCCTTTGCTTTTATTTAATATTATTTTTGGATTCTTCTTGGTCTGACGCCTTCTTCACACATCTCAATTTTTTTCTGTCTATACAGAGTGGAGTTTATTTGAGTTTCTATTATGTAAGTTTCTTGTCTACCTCGATTTAACAGAAAACACAAATATTTGGCAAATCAAAAATCTGAAAATAAATGTTGGAAAAAATTTGGTATGGGTTTGAAATGAAAAGTTTTGTATGGACCTAATCTGAAATTTTTCATGTAGATTTCAGGTACTCTTACAAAAAATGATTAGATTAATAAAATGCTAGGTGAAAGAGGAGCAGGTGAGATATATGACTTTTATTTAGCTCAGTGAATAGGGGTATGTCTACACTACAAAGTTAATTCGAACTAGGTAAACCTCATTCCACGAGGACTAATGCCTAGTTCGAATTAAGTGGCTACACAGCCCTTAATTCGAACTAGGTAAACCTCATTCCACGAGGACTAATGCCTAGTTCGAATTAAGTGGCTACACAGCCCTTAATTCGAACTAGGTAAACCTCATTCCACGAGGACTAATGCCTAGTTCGAATTAAGTGGCTACACAGCCCTTAATTCGAACTAGGTAAACCTCATTCCACGAGGACTAATGCCTAGTTCGAATTAAGTGGCTACACAGCCCTTAATTCGAACTAGGTAAACCTCATTCCACGAGGACTAATGCCTAGTTCGAATTAAGTGGCTACACAGCCCTTAATTCGAACTAGGTAAACCTCATTCCACGAGGACTAATGCCTAGTTCGAATTAAGTGGCTACACAGCCCTTAATTCGAACTAGGTAAACCTCATTCCACGAGGACTAATGCCTAGTTCGAATTAAGTGGCTACACAGCCCTTAATTCGAACTAGGTAAACCTCATTCCACGAGGACTAATGCCTAGTTCGAATTAAGTGGCTACACAGCCCTTAATTCGAACTAGGTAAACCTCATTCCACGAGGACTAATGCCTAGTTCGAATTAAGTGGCTACACAGCCCTTAATTCGAACTAGGTAAACCTCATTCCACGAGGACTAATGCCTAGTTCGAATTAAGTGGCTACACAGCCCTTAATTCGAACTAGGTAAACCTCATTCCACGAGGACTAATGCCTAGTTCGAATTAAGTGGCTACACAGCCCTTAATTCGAACTAGGTAAACCTCATTCCACGAGGACTAATGCCTAGTTCGAATTAAGTGGCTACACAGCCCTTAATTCGAACTAGGTAAACCTCATTCCACGAGGACTAATGCCTAGTTCGAATTAAGTGGCTACACAGCCCTTAATTCGAACTAGGTAAACCTCATTCCACGAGGACTAATGCCTAGTTCGAATTAAGTGGCTACACAGCCCTTAATTCGAACTAGGTAAACCTCATTCCACGAGGACTAATGCCTAGTTCGAATTAAGTGGCTACACAGCCCTTAATTCGAACTAGGTAAACCTCATTCCACGAGGACTAATGCCTAGTTCGAATTAAGTGGCTACACAGCCCTTAATTCGAACTAGGTAAACCTCATTCCACGAGGACTAATGCCTAGTTCGAATTAAGTGGCTACACAGCCCTTAATTCGAACTAGTGGGAGACTAGCCCTCCCCAGCTTGCCCTGGTGGCCACTCTGGGCACCACCAGGGAAACTCTTCTGCCCCCCTCCTGGCCCCGGAGCCCTTAAAGGAGCATGGGCTGGCTACGGGGCCCGTGCCAGGTGCAAGCCTGCCAGCACCCAGCCAGCAGACCCTGCACCTGGCACAGCACAAGCCAGCCAACCGCTGCCACCCAGCCCTCCACCTCTTCCCGGGACCAGGCTGGCGGCTCCCGGGAGCCTGCCCAGGTCTGCAAGAGGCGGGCGCCCGCCTCTTGCAGACCCGGGCAGGCTCCCGGGAGCCGGCAGCCTGGTCCCGGGAAGAGGTGGAGGGCTGGGTGGCAGCGGTTGGCTGGCTTGTGCTGTGCCAGGTGCAGGGTCTGCTGGCTGGGTGCTGGCAGGCTTGCACCTGGCACGGGCCCCGTAGCCAGCCCATGCTCCTTTAAGGGCTCCGGGGCCAGGAGGGGGGCAGAAGAGTTTCCCTGGTGGTGCCCAGAGTGGCCACCAGGGCAAGCTGGGGAGGGCTAGTCTCCCACTAGTTCGAACTAGCGGGGTAGTGTAGACATACCCCAAGATACTATTCTGTAGTGTATGAGACCCATTTTCAATTCTTCCTCTGTTTGAGGAGTAGAAACTACATGAATTTGGTTCTACCACATTGTAGAAAAGCATCCTAATCATTGGAGGTATGTCTACACTACCCCGCTAGTTCGAACTAGTGGGGGTAATGTAGTCATCCGCAATTGCAAATGAAGCCCGGGATTTGAATTTCCCGGGCTT